AAGAACTGCTCAGCAGTAACAAAAACATCCCTGTATTATCAATGCTGTTTTCATCACAAATCCAAAACATCGCCCTATACTAGCTACTATGAAGAAATATAACTCTATCCCAGCCAAAACCAGCACACAAAGCTTTGTGTAGTAATTCTGAAAACACCTTTTTTTTAATCTGAAAGCACAAGAAACATGTAGGTCCACAGAAAATAAACTCCACATGTACTTGCAGGCCATTCTTTTGAATATTCAATCAGGTTCTCTGGGAAAATGCAGTCTCCATCTAGACAGCTTATTACACACCTAGAAAATTTTGGAGCTCTTTTAGTTCAGAAGTCTTCCTGTTTATATATCTGCACAGTGTTTCTGAAAGGAAGGTTTTGTCACATCTCAGCTTTTGTTGTGCTGGGGAAATCTCCATTCCGCAAACCCTTCCCTAAGAAGTGGCAAACCAGGTCCTCCTTGGCCTAGAAATTTCTTTAACATATTTGTATTTATTCAAAGTGAAATTCTGAAACACTGTTCATTTTTCTAGACTAGTGGGTAGATACAATTGTTGACTGCAAAAGGAGATACAGAGAGACATTTCATGTTACAGTCATTTTCAGAGTAGTGACTTCAGATTCCCCAAAACTTTAAAGCGCAGATGTAAAAGTTTCCTAGCTACAAGAATAACTCATTATCTTCTATTTATATAGAAAAAAGAAGGTAACTTCTTTAAACTCCTTAGAGGATAAGGTGACTTTGTTCTTCTGCTGAAGTACATGAAAAACTTTGTTAAATTTTGTGGGGAAATAATTGAATCTACAGCTGAAGGGAGACTTAGGACTCCTGGTTTTTGGTTCCTATCTGCATACATCAAATGATTACTGCATTCCTCCTGTCCTGTTATGTAAAGAGTTTCGTATGGAAAATCCATGTTATGTGCCACACTGGTAACAGTCATATCTTTGTATTAGCAGAATTGGTTTAGCTGTGATAGTGTCAGGACATAAAGAAAAAGGCAAGTTTTGTAGGAAATGTTAATCTTTTTTAAATATAAACTTAGAAAAAACAGATAAGCTTTTGGATGCATGAGCCCTTCTTCTGGTATCCTTTATGTTTATACAGAGAATATATTAAGAAGTCAACTTTCAAGAAATAGGGCATGTTATTCACTTGTATTAGAAAAGCTTTTCTTGTCTTACACAAGTGCACACAATATGTGATGATTGGTAACAATGTACTCTGTCATAAATTGTTATTATGAGTTATTTCTATAGTGCCATAGGTGTGTGTGGCATTGTACAGACAAATAAAAACTGACAGCTCCTTACCTCAAGGAGCATGCGATCCAAATTGCACATAACACAGCAAGGGATGACAATAAACAAAGACAGCAGGTGGGGGAATGCAGAAGGCAAAACTTCCATGATTGTGAGAGATGCATTTCATTAGATACATATCCTGTTTTTTCCTTTTTTTCTTTGCTGTCATTTAAAATGAGTGTATGAGACACAGGAAAATGCATGAACAGTGTCTGGAATGGCAGTACATTCAAGCCATTTGTGTTTGAGTTGGAGGATTTGGAGGAAGAGATATGAGATGGTCTTCCCAGTAAAAAAGGGCAGATAACTTCTGTCCTGGATGTTCAGTGGACAGTTGTGTTCTGCATGAGATTGTGTGCTTACAACACCACCTACACAAGGCTTCTTATCATATGCTTAAGTTAAGAGCTGAGATGCTCTGGTGCTGAGGGACAGGGATAGACCATCCAAGCTCAAGGATGATCAAGCAGGAAATCCAGCAGAGTTGCAGGGAGCCTGCAGGTTTGAATAAGGAGTTCGTGACTAAACTGAAACATAAAAAGGAATCATACAAAGGTGGCAGTAGGATCAGATCAGCCAGGAGGAAGATAGAGACACTGTGCAAGCATGCAGGAATAGGGTTAGAAGAGACAAAGCCCGCCTGGAGCTGAATCTTGGCAAGAGATGCCACAGGCAACAAGAAGAACTTCTTCAGGTATATTGTAAGCAAAAGGAAGGCTAGGGAAAATATGGGCCTTCTGCTGAATGGAAATGGAGTCCTAGTAACAAAGGACATGGAAAAGGCTGAGGTCCTCAATGCTTCCTTCACCTAAATCTTTACTAGTAAGACCAGTCTTAAGGAAAAACAGGCCACTGAGAGCAACTGAAAAGTCTGGAGCAAGGAAGACTTGGAGGAGGAGGACCAGATTAGGTGTCCTGGTTTCGGCTGGGATAGAAGTAATTTTCTCTCTAGTAGCTGGTATAGTGTTGCATTTTCAATTTAAGATGAGAATAATGTTCATAACACACCGATGTTTTAGTTACTGCTGAGCAGTGCTTACACTACTCAAGGACTTTCCTGCTTCTCACATGGCCCCACCAGTGAGTAGGCTGGGGGTGCCCAAGAAGCTGGGAGGAGAAACGACAGGGACAGCTGACCCCAGCTGACCAAAGGGATATTCCATACCATATGATGTCATGCTCGTGATATAAACTAGGGAAAAAGTTGGCCAGGGGTTCGCTGCTCAGGGGTCTGCTGCTTGGGAACTGGCTGGGCATCGGTCA